GGGAGCCAAGTCGTGAATGCGATGACTGTTCTTTGATGGCAGGAGATTTTTCGCCATTCGCTTCTCTTTTTTATCAAGCCTGGGGCAAGCAGAGCTAACGGCGTGGTTGTTGAGGCCAATAATGTCAATATCTCCGGTTGCGCTGTACAGTTTCGTAAAAGAATCTGCCTAGTCCATTTCGCTCGACAGCTCATATTTTTTACTCCAGCATCAAATTGATGAATTCACAAGATAATGAGTAGCCCTGTCTGAAACTAAATACCAAATACGGCCAAAGCGGCATGGGGTAGCTCGCTATGGTGCTTTCGCAGGCTATTTCATGATTTCACACCTGGGGAATCTCTGTTCAATGGTTGATTTACCAGGTTTAAGGCAACGCTGATAAGGTTTAGTCAGTTTGTTTATTGTGGAAAGCCGTCTCTTACACAATACGCTCCATAGGACCTTACAGAGGCCACTTTTTATGGATTGGGCAGATCACAATGAAGTTCTGATCGGTGGACTGTTTTTCGGCCTACCATTTTCTGCAAAAAAGGTTGATGGATACAGCCTGTCAGCTCTTTACCGCCATGTTTGAAAAGCTCTGTCGGTAGACCATCAGCTGCAGCTACTTTGTTGATTTTTTAACGGCCAATCGCTTTTCGAAGTTCGTCATAGTCGGGCAATGGACTTTTGTCTTTTACATCATCAGTGATTAACGGATCAGGTTCACCATCTACGAGTGTTCCACTTTCACTGCCATTTAATAACTGGGTAAGTATTTCCTCTATACAATAAGTATGCTCTGAACATTACTCGACAGAGTTTAACATTGTTCCCTATATGAGTATGCACGAGTCTTGAAATTTTTTGTTTATCGTTATCGACCAGCTTCTTATGCTCTATTCACGCATTTCGGCTGTCTTCTTTTTTTGCTTCCCTCTTTAACTCAGTCTGTTTTCTCACCACTGAAGCTCGACAATCCTTTCCGTACGAGCTCTCTTCTGGCACTGCCGAAAACCGATTTTTTCCGTGGTGGCGGTACGTAGTTTCAGCTGCCGTCTCATAGTTCCCTTATAAGGATTTTTGATGAGTGCTCTTAGAAAGCAGTTGAGCAAGTCGAATAGAAATCCGCTCGGCGTTGTGATTGCAGCTTATCGACGTAAAGGACAAACCGTGAACTGATTGTCCTCAGAACGTACGCATATCTAGAACACTGGAGGCATATCTACCATCAATCACTAATCATTTGAATGTGCGATTTCCGATCCGACAACAACCGAATAGCTTGATGGGGTTTCTTGTGCCTAAATTTGATTCTACAAACAACCAGATTTCAAGTCCCAGCGAAGTCAATCATCCTCAGGCAGTCTGCGGATATTTCGTTATTGAGTCACCCTGACTTTAAAATTGCTAAGGTTCGAAGTGAATCCATCCCCACCATATTTGCGCTATTTTATACGGCTGCTGTTGTATATTTCACATGGACCCACTTTTTTCCTTGCGTCGTCCGATGCACTTCTAGTACGGTTATTATAGCGTTAAATTAGGCAGCGGCACCTGACCACTCCCGGTGAATGTTAGTAAAAGTTTTCCTCTCTTCTAATTCTGATCTTAATCAATATTTCTTTGTATGCAGCTCAAGCTCTTCGTCTGCAGTTGGTGACGGACTCTCGGATAATGGTGCTTAAGTCCCGTTGCACGCCCTACTGTCCAGCCGTTATTGTCTATGGTGCTGAATGGAATAAGTATAATTTAGTACTTTTTGATGTGTCTGGGTGGGGGTTAAGTCTCAAGTAAATATCTGTTAGGTGCTCCCGATGATCCATCTCTTCTGCTAGCTTTGTTTCCCTGCGATCATTTGAAAAGCAAGAATACCAGAGGCCGTAGTGCGATGAGACAGTACTGTGCGCCAGATCTCCGCCATGGTCTTATAACCCACCCATCTTAGAAGATCTGAGCGGCCGCTCTACTTTGTTTCTTGGTTTACAGCTTTTGGTAGGTACTCCCGACTCATGAAGTCGACTAGCTCGTCGATTTTTTTCTCTGTGTTTATTGCAATTAAACTCTAGGAGACTGGTCTGTCTCGGGGCGCGTTCATAGTTTGCTGTATAAGCGAGTAATGTAGTAGGGAGTGGTGCTGCATTCGTGGCACAGCATGAGGCAACGTACGCGACCACTCAGGGGAGTTGAAACTGACACTAGCCAAGTAGCACTGGACGGATGCCACGTTTCGAGCTGCTGGGTATCCTACGAACTGGTTGTAGAAATGGATCTAGTTGGGGGTGCAGGTGGGGATGATGGGTAAGTTGGAAGTCATGCTGCAGGGAGCTTCATTAAACCGTGGATGTCTGGGGGTGGTTACTCAAAGTGATTAGGGGTGCAGTAGGCATGACCGTGAAGGCGCTGGGCGTAGTTGAGCAGCATAGGGCCACGAAACGCGTGGTCCGCTCCCTATGTGTTTTAGGACCGGAACAGCGACAGCAATAACAAAAGGATTTAAGACACGGAAAGAGTGACAGACAGCTTTTTGTAGGATAAAGTCTGAATCAACTCCGGTGCATAGAATCGGCTATCGTGAGAGTCAAAAAAGTACCATTCTTTCCACTTGTATTAAATCGAAAACTTACATTCAAAGTGGATGAGTCTTCGACCGCAAATATAATAAATTGCCAATTGTCAAATTGAGAATCGATTGAACTGGTCGTCTCACAGCTGCGGTTTGCCTACGTTGGACTACTTTTTGTGGGAAGTTGAGATCTTCAAATATGGTATAAGAATTAAAAACCCCAATTTGATGTCAAAAACCCGTGCAAATCAGTGCATGTAGATTTTGGATATATACCACATGCTTATGCCTTTAAGTCGAAGTCGAAGGAGGAATCTATGCAAAAACACTCAGAGTGCTGAAGTGGTTATTATTTTCTGCCATCGTGTAGGAATGTTACTCAGCGAATATAAAAAAGTACAAAATATTTAAAACCTTTATATAAATTGGAGAGAAAAAGTAAAGGAGCTCAGGAAAGCAAAATCCTCGAGGAAGTTTAAAAAAGAATGTGTTGTTTTTGCAAAAAAGATACACAGCTAAACAAGACCAGAGTTCCAGTTGTATTTGAGTAAAGATTCAAAAGACGAAATCTGTTCATTTGCTGTCACCAAAACAAAGTCCGATATGTGTAGTGGCTCAGATACTGGCACGGGTACTCCAATAAGAGGTGTTATTTTGATTTTCAAAGAAAGTTTTCCCTTAAAAGATTGATGATTTGGTTGCTTGTGTGGCTTATAGCGCCGTCTCGTTGAAAGTAAACGTTGCCCAGACCATCCGATTCCGGTCATAAAAAATCATTAATCATCTCTCGCTATCCATTCACCATAACTATTGCTCCAGCCTCATTTTCAAAAGGGAAATATCTAATGACTCCACCGATCGGAGGACAGTGAGCAGGCACAACCGGTCAAGGCTTGATGGCAATGAAGGCTTTGTTATATGTTTAGTGGGATTGGAAAGGAATAATTCACTTTTTAAACTTTTACTGTCGGAATTGAACCGTCTGAAATAAGCAGTCATACGAAATCGCCCAGTTTTGACCGACAGGATGGGAATAGTATTTCATCAGGATAACGATAGACCACACACATCGATAGTGACGCACCAGAAGCTCTTATAGCTTGGTTTGCAGGTCTTTGTGCATCTATCTTATAGTCCAGGCGTCGTACTAAGTGATTACTATCTGTTCCTGCTTATGGCGAATGATTTAGCTGTTGGGAAAATGGGCTCAAGAGAAGTCGATGAAAATCAATTGTTAAAATTTTTTGCCCACAGGGACAAGGGTTTCTATGACAGAGGCATTATGACATTACTTTAAATATAGCAAAAAGTCATCAAGAAAAATGGTGCTTATTTGACATAAATCGGATGATGCAGCGGATTACTTTTTACTTTTTACAATACTGACCAACTTGCTATAGTCTATTTTTGGATGAAAAATATTTTCATCAGAAGCTGGGATATGCAATTTTACAGCAGTGAAAACAATAGTTATTTTTGCCTGGTTTTAGCTAAAATGATTGAATTTCCAAGCAATGGTTTTATGAGCGTCCTGCTTGTCATGAGATGTTTGGATCAGCGTGAAAATCTCCGCCTTACAAAAATTCTGACTAGTTTTTATTGTTTTTAATTACATTTTATATTTTTATAATTTTATTTATTGCGCAACACAGACCATCTACATACATACATATATGTATATATATATATATATTAATAAATATTTAGTTAACATAAAATAAAATATTAAACAGATCACGTAAATATTTACAAAGGCAACTTATATTCAATGTGGGTATATATGTATATATTTTTTTGGATAATCATATATGTATATATATAAATATATATAGTGTAACGCTTAATTTAACACTAAAAAAAGAATTTACAAAATCTACAATTTTACAACTAATCTATTCACTTACTCGTATAAACATATTTATATTGCATGTTATGTTTTTATAGGATTAGGTGTGTGTGTAAGTGTTCATAGTACAAACACTATCAAATAATTAGAGCTAAAAAGGCATTTTGATATATATTTGTATATATTTATTTATACATACATAACCATACGTTTCAATCTATGCGACATTTAAGACTGATTTTTTGAACGAAATAATTTTCAAATCTGAGCTGTTGCAGATCAGTTTTCAATCTAAACCATCTAAGCATAAAATTTGGCTACTCACATTACTTTTCTTTTAAGAAACCACTTTTTAAATAAATTGACAGCATATTAAAAACAGAATGAAATAAAATAAAATAAAGTAAAATAAAATAAAATAAAATAAAATAAAATAAAATAAAATAAAATAAAATAAAATAAAATAAAATAAAATAAAATAAAATAAAATAAATTAATAAAAGCAAAATAATATAATATAAAAAATTTAAATAAAATGAAATAACAAAACTAAAAAAATAATAAAAAAATTAAATAAAAAAATAATAAAAAGAGTAATAAAACAAAATGAAATTGAATAAAATAAAGTAGAATAAAATTAAATAAGAAAATATCTATCCAATCCTACAACAGTCACAAAAATGCCAAAAACAAAAGCGTTAAAAAGGCCTAAAAGTCGTTATAAATGCTCAACATGAATTTAGCACTTAATTTATGCAATTTCGTTTGCTTGTTTAAATAATCAAAACAAATCTGCTGACTACACAGTTCCGCGTGCTGCTTGCTCATCGCACAGATATGCCATTTATGGTGATGACATTTCCGGTCGTCGGTTCAGGTTCGTAGACCTCATCGTTGGTGCGCATCTCATATGGCGCATCGTAGAATTGCTCGCTGGGTATTTGATCGTAGATGTTTTCTAATTTAATAATATAAATTTATTTTACTTTTCGATAAAAAAAATAAAAATAATTTAGATATTTAATGAAAACCCTCACCTGGCTTCCGTCCGATGGACCCATTACCATTCACCGCACCACCACCACCACGTCCATTCACTTGGAATGTGTTGAACGTCGCCGGCGGTCCATTGTCCAAATGCATTCGATTATTCGCCTCCAGCGTCGAGTAAGACATCACGGCCGCATTGCGTTCATCTTTGGTCTCTGCTGCCTGCACATTCTCGGTATTCTTCACTGGGCGCGCTTTGTTGCGATGCAAAAAAATGAGACCAATAATGAAGAGTAAGAGTATAATGACTGTGGCGCCGATCGCTATGCCAGTGCCCAAACTGGAGCTCTCCTGCGCCTCGGTGGCAGCGACTTCACAACGCGGTTCATCGCCACTCCAAGTGCCATCTTCGGTGCACTTGCGCAGATATTGACCGATACGATTGTAGCTTGGTATGCAATGATATTCCGCTGAGCCGCCATATAATGTTGACTCGTTCACGATTATCACACGACCGTTTTCGATCATCGGCGGACGTCCACAATCAACAGCTGTGCGAAGAGTACAAAGAATTTTATATTTTCTTATTTATTATAACTAAAATTGAAGCACTCACGTTTACAACTAGGACTTTTGCCCGTCCATTTGCCATTCTTTTGACATACACGCGTATCATTACCGATCAGCGTCCGTCCTTTGGCGCATTTGAATTTCGCTTGCGCGCCTACTGAGTGGCCGACAGCATCGACTATTAGATTCTCACTAATGTCGGGCTCATCACAGGTGATCTCTATGCAAACAGGTGTTTCGTGACTCCACGTTCCATCATCGGCACACAGGCGACGTGAGACTCCATCCAATTTGAAGTTCGGATTGCACTCGTACAAGGCAGCAGCGCCATAATAAGTAACATTTGTGGCCAGTGTGACTTTGCCGTGCGTTATATTGGCTGGTATGCCGCACTCCACATCTGTGGGAAGAATAATGAAATAAAAACATAAAAAAATGTTATGTGTGGGTTTATGGGACGGTTTAGGAAAGGAGCTCAACAAACTTGAAGCCTATTCCACTAAAGGATAAGAATAAGAGAAGAAGTTAGGTAAAGCTGTTCTCAATTAGCATGATCCCATCGGTTTTCTCACAACTCTGTCATCTTTCTCATCTCTATATACCATCCCTTGTTTGTAGTAGATGTCACTTGATACCTTAAGGTTCTATCTGGTCAGGTCTCGGACAGCCTGTTTAAAAGTGAATGACACTGCTGAGGCAAGATGAGCTCCCATCTCAGTTGGTTCCAAGAAGTGGAGTTCATCCTCTTAATTCAACCACAAGCGGACGTTCTTTAGATATATATCCTTTACTTGGTGATTTGTACCACCCGAAGCGGACCTAATCCTAATATTTGTCGATTGTATCTCGAGGTTCTTCAAGCAAATGGAGGGATCTGCAGGTTATTCTAAGCCGGTTTTAACTGCCAATGGATTTATTTGTCAGAAATGCACTTTTAGGGTGTGATATACCCTGTTTGCAGCGACTCTGGCCTTCCGAGTGATAGTTAATTTTTTCTACAAGAACTCGAACCATTTCCTATCGAGTGGCACTCGCCAGCTATACTTTAAATAACGCGAGCTTATTTGGGTCCGTAGAAAAACCGTCTCTTCTTCTTGATTTGCATAGGAGCCGATTACGCGATTATTGCCCAGCCAACAAAATAGCTCACCAGTCGTTTCGTCACTACGCTGTTCGTCATCAATTCGGCCTTTCTCTATCTGACATTTAAAATGGACTGAAAAGCTTGATTTTCCTTTACTTTTCCATTCAAAACTGAGGTGTTGTCGCCCGAACAGTTCGTTGTTCTATCGTCTGCTATATTCGGTGTTGCCAATAAGCAGAGGCATAAAAATCCTATATACGAAATTGGGTAAGCAGATCCTACGATAATTTGCTTAGATTCTGGAGCCTCCCATTTTCGTTGATTTGCAAAGCACACTTAAGTTCCCATCAACAGATATACACTCATCCGTCGAAATTCTTCGGTAGGTGGCTAGGGTTACGGACTAGCAGGCTGGAGAAGTCTTCTCTCCTTAAAGTTGTACCAATTTGCAGAAAATTCCAAATTTTCTCGAGAGGAGTTGACATGGAAGTCGAAATCGCTATAGTTTATATACTGGATGCAGTGCTGTTTGGAGACGTTTTAAGAGCTGTTCGTGCCTCGAACATATGGGGCTTAGAGAATGCTTTTCGGCCACGCTGAATTCTTATTACCGTATCAGTTCCTCAATCCAATTTCAATATTTGTAATTAAAATACATTCCTCACAACAAAAGGGAGCTCCAGAAGATACGGTTCTCGACTACTGATAACCCTTTAATCTGCGCGATATGCTGGTGTGGTGGCATAGAAAATTTCTTCTATCACTTCAGCACCTGCAAAATGCATCCATACCATGGGTGATCAAAATACTATTCCCACAGCCTATCGATAGTTTCAGGCACGTGTGTAGAAGGCGGATGTTTGAGCAAAGGTCTCTCTAGTTAAACAGTTGATCAGATAATCTAACGATTGCTGAGCTAATCGGATGCCCATCTGTGCCAAAGTACCCAAGAAAGAGCTTCCTCAGGAGTTTCTCTTGTGGGGAAACGCAAAAACTGTTACTTGTGCTCGATAGTCTATCTAAGAGTTCTTATAGCACGATTGCTTGCCAACTTGATACTTACATACACACTCCGGCACAGCGCCACTCCATTGGCCATTATCTTCACAGGTGACAAGAGCTTCGCCCACCATCTTATAACCGCGTTCGCAACGATATTTCGCAAGGGCGCCGATTCTACATGTTGAAAGATTTCATAAATGAATCATACGTGTAAACAGATAAATACATTTTTTGTGTCACTTACTTATATGTCTGTGCGCTATTCTGTGCCGAGTCCGCCGTTCGTATCAACGTGCGTCCATACATGCGATCATTGCCCGTGACCGAGAGTAAACTATGAGCGGCTAACACTGGTTCGGAGCAGCGGATTTCTGAGAGGGGAAAAAATAAGTCAAAATAACTCAAAAAAAAGGATATTTTTAAAGATGAAAAATTAATTACCTTCACATTTCGGTGATGCATCGCTCCAAACGCCGGACTCAAGACAAACTCGCTTTGGCACACCACTCAGCTTGTGAGACTGCGTGCAACTGAATGTGACCTCTGATCCCACGTACGTGGTATTTTGAGTGTACTTCATGGAGCCATAGGGTATTGGGGTGATGATGCCGCAGTCGATATCTGAAAATAGTAAAACATAAAAGAAGGGGTGTTACCTCATTAAGCAACAACTGAGGTTCTATGGGTTCAAAAAATTCTGTTTCTTCTTGTATTTAAAATTCCTTAGACACCTGTTGAGTTTTATAAACGAGGAAAAACTTCGAATAAGAGTTCCGTTAAGCAGTAATGGAGATGAAAATGCTATGAATCCCGAGCTGGACTCAAAAGATTACCTCATTGCAGTTCGCTGGAAACTATTGGATAATGATAGTCAGTGAACTTTCAGTAGAAAGCTTATACAATACCTTAATTTCAGCTACTTTGGTCCGAAGGGTTCTAGGCAGATCTATAATTTAAGTTTCCAAGGAATAAGTGCATAGCAAAAGCTACTTGAGAGTAATACTCTAAAATTACAAAAGCTTAGGGTACCCCGGAACCAATGTCGGCAGATTTGTCTACAAAAAATTGTAGTACAGCCTCATGAAAAATTCCAGCTTCGACTGCATAAGCTTTAAAGCTAGACCTTTATTACCCATCCCTTGGTAGATCAGATCGAGAAGATCCCACCATATAAAAGTACATTCTTCTTCATACTCACATTCACAAAACGGTGCATCTGTGTTCCACTCGCCGGTCTCCAAACACTCCAATGTCGGAGTGCCACGCAACACATAACCCGGATCGCAGTTGTATTGAATTTTGGAGTGTACATTGTAATCGTAGCCCACCACAAATGAACCAGCCGGCACATGTGGCGTATCGCAAGCGACCAGTTCACAAACCGGTGCATCACCAGACCATTTACCCTCTTTGGTGCAATACAGCTCCGACGGGCCATCTAACCAATAGTCATCTTCACATTCATACTTGACCATCGAACCGACCGTAGTCGAGGCATTCACCAACACCGCGTGGCCACGATCGGGACGCGCTGGTGCACCACAATCAACGAAACGACATGATGGCGGTTTGCTGGACCATTCACCGCCGAGGCCACAGGAAATTATCTGCATAATAAATAAAGTTTTACAAAAATATGACTATTTGTATGTGTGTATGGGGGTGTGTGTGTGTGTGTGTGAGTATGTAAATGAATAAACATACAAATTTATAGTTATTACAAAACCACTTGACCGATGCATAAATCAAAATATGTACATTTGTATGTAGTTTCTTTTTTGTACTCTTGTTATTGAAATCAAAAGTTAACTCACCGGTTCGCCCACCAACACATAACCGGCCTCGCATTCATATGTGGCCGTTGAGCCGGCACGTTTGTCCGTCACTGTAACGCTGCCGCCAGCGATGCGTGGCGGCTCAGGACACCAATCGACCAGACATTCCGGCTGCTTGCCCGTCCAACCAGTCAACTCGCAAGTGCGATTCTCATTGCCAATGAGCGTGTAATTCTCGTGACAAGTGTAGGTCGCCTGCACACCATAGCTGGTACGTTGTTCCGAAAGTAGAATGGCGCCATGCTCCAGTTCCGGCAGTGGACCGCAATCGACATCTGTGGTGGTGTAGGCGAAAGAAGGGTGTGGATAAGTAGCGGTTATAAAATTAACAATAGATGGAGATGTGGTAGAGAATTATTTTAATATGTTTAGTCTGTTTGTCGAGGGCATTTTAACTTTGTTCACTCATTGATAGTTTTGTTGTGATTTAAAATAATTGAATATTAAATGATGAATAATCACCGTGCGGTAGATCTCTAGGTGAATATAATCAATACTGATCGGGGTTTATTTGCGCCGCTTCAGTGGACTTAAGCTAGACTTGTACTCAGGGCAAGGTCTATCGAAAGCCTTAATGTACTTTATGTTCTTAAATCCAGAGGACGAACTCGATTAACTAGAAATTTACATTAGAAGATTTTTTTCTAGAAGCGTACGAAGGTGTGAAGTTCTATACAGTTAAATGCATTTAAGCTTCCAAAATTTTTACTTTCCCACATAAAGATGATGTCGATTTCATAGTACCTACAATATTCCCCAGCCCTGCCTAAAGCTGGGCATAAGGAATCGACCTCGTCAAGTTTAAAGTTTTCTCAAGTCATTGCCTCTTCTAAATTTGGCCACATTAAGCTTCAGTTTATTTGTTAAAAATGTTATTTAAACCAATTATTGGATTATACCAAGCGGGGGTCTGGTAAGAGTGAATTATATAGTTATCAGCTTAGCTGATTTTTCGATTTTTTTCCCAATTTCATCCGATGCAATTTTATTATTCTAAGGAGTCTAACAGAGTAATTGCAGAGAGGCAGAGAGAGACATTGAGACCCATCAATGACATCTTATTTATTTTATGTTATTTAATTTTAGTTATTTAATTTATTCATTTTTTCATGTAATTTTTTTTTTGAAATTCCGTATTATATATTTTATTCTTAATATTAATTTAGCTTTATTTTACTTAATTTCTTTTCCCCCATTTATTGTAATTTCTTTATTTTTCTTTACTTTATTATCTTCTATTTTACTTTAAAGTATTTTAATATTTTTATTTGACTTTTTAAATTGATTTTTAGCTTGTTCTGTATTAAATTATATTTTTTATTGATTAATATATTCAAATAAGTTTATATTAATATTATTTAATATAATTTTTAATACTGTCGAAAATTCTTTTTTCTGCATTTGAATAATTTATTTCTATTCCTTTATTTTATTTTATTTTATTTTCTCTTTTGTTATTCTATTGTATATGATATATTGTTATTTTACTTGATGCTATTTATTTTTTTATTTTTGTTAATTTTTACACAAGTGTTTATTTATTTATTTATCGGTGTACAACTTTGCTTCCGCCGTTTTCCGATAGGTGGCTGTACCGGCTGAGGCTGGTTGAAATATTTACATAGATGATAATGCCTTTAAAGTGAGTGTAGACAATGCCTAACGAATTGTCATCGCCGTTTCAGTAACAGCTGTTCTTGTTTTCGTATTATTCACGCTCGAAAATGTCCGTTTATGTGCCTAATTCTCGCCATTTGCGGGAAGTTTTACTTTTCTGTTACAATTCGAAAAACAAAATGCAGCTGATGCGCCTTAGTCGCGCGCTAAAAGAAAAGCGGCCACAATATTAAGAGCGACATGACAAAGTCATCCTCCAACACGACAATGCTCCGCCTCACGTCGCAAAAGTTGTCAAAAAGTACCTGGAAACGCTGAAATGGCAAGTCCATCTATTCCACCTATTCCGTCCGATGGCACACGGCCTGGCAGATCAACATTTTCAAATCCTTCGAAGAATTGGAAAAATGGATTGCTTCATGGATAGCGTCAAAAGAGGACTCCTTTTTTCGAGCCGGGATCCGAAAATTGCCGGAAAGATGGGAGAAAGTTGTCAATACTTTGAATAATATATCTGTAAGCCCGTTTTCGCAATAAAGTTTTTAATTTTTTAAAAGAATGGCGGAAGCAAAGTTGTTCTTTTTTTATTTTAATTTATTTTAATTTTATTTATTTAATTTCAGTTTATTTTGTTTTATCTTTTATTTATATATGAATGTAGTTTTTAATTATCTTTTATTTTATTTTAATTTATTACATTTTATTTTATTTTGTTTCGTTTTAACTTTTTTTAATTTGCATATTTTTTTTTTAATTTTATTCTCTGTAATTTTATTTTATTTACTTTACATTTTATTAATTTTTATTTTTATTTTATTTTTCTCTTTTTTGATTTAATTTTTTTTTCTTATATTATTTTAATTTTTTATTGTGATTCTTTTAATTTCTTTTAATTTTTTTATTTTATTTTATTCTATTTTATTTTACTTTACTCTATTTTATTTATTATTTTGTTTTGTTTTTGTTTATTATACTAAATTTTATTTTATTTTAGTTTTTCATTTTATTTTACTTTATTTTATTTTAACCATATTTTCTTATAATGATTATTATGATTAATAATTTTTATTTTGTTTAATTATTGCTATTATATTTTTTTGTGCTTATTTATTAATTAAGTTATTAGGACTTGATTTAATAAAATGATTTTTTTTGTATTACGAGACTTTCTCTTTGTTTTATTTTATTCTTGATTATATCTCTTTATTTTTAATTAATTAACTTTATTTATATAATTTTTTTATTTCATTTAATTTTTGAAATTTTCCTTTACACCACGATTTGTGTACGTTTCTAAATTTATCATTTTTATTGTATTTAGCTGTACTTACATTTGCATGTGGGCGCCCGTCCACTCCAAGTGCCATCAGCACGGCATGTACGCTCAGCATTGCCGATCAACGAATGGCCCTTAGGACATTCGTATGTGATTTTATTGCCCAGCGTATAATTACGACCCATAATTGTGGTGTTCTGTTGTGCATCCGGTGAACCGCATGAGAGGGGCGCTGAAGCGAAGGCAAACAAGAAAGAGCAAAGAGTTAGCCCAATTAGACTTGGAAAGGTAAAAAATATAAAAGCAAATAATTGAATGCAAATTAAATTAGTAGCAAATACTAACAATGCTGGCATATAAAGTGCAGATAATCCAAATTACAGCCCACATCGTTCCACAGCCAATTGCGACCGCCATCCAACACCGCACAATTCTGCTCGCCATTATAATTGTTCGGCTGATCTTTGCCCCAGGCCGGCTTTTGTACCACTTCACCTGTAAATGTAAGCAAAATATACATAAGTTATTTGATATACATTTACATACATATACATACACACATACAATGGGCTATACAGTGAAATTACACAACTTTGCTTTTATTTGAGAATATTTGCAACTCTGCGAGGCCAATAAAAATCGTGTCTAACAAATAGTAAAACTCATAAAATGCTTTGACTTATATTATAATATAATTAATTGAATATACATATGAACAACAACAATGTATAGAAAAACAGTAATTAAAATGCGCCGCGGAGGCACACAAAAGACTTTCATTTTTCATTCAAAGAACATTTTACCGCTGCTGACCAATTATGGTGCGTCCGAGAGACGCCTTGGCCAACTGCATATTTGCATAAAATAATTATAATTTACCATAGTATCTGTGGGGGTGGGGGTGTGTTTTTTTTTATTAATAACAACCATTTTAGTTAATTTGTGTGTGTGCGTGTGTGTTTGTGTGGTATATGTTATTTAGGTAAATGGCATTCAATCAAAGTGTGGCCTTTTCCTTTCAATGCTCACTGCATTGTTTTACTAACTGGATTTTCTACAAGTAGCCACACACACACACAGTGCCTACATATGTATATGGGTATACTTATACGCATATGAATACCATATTGGTTATCGCTTTTTATTGTAATCAGGGTTTTGTTTTTGTTGTTCGTTTAATTTTTATCGAATTTGTACTATGGAAATGCCTTTATGGTCATCAACTTTTGCTTTCAATGTCACTTTCTACTTCTACTAAAGTGTCTGGCGCTTACATATTTATAAAATTTTCTTTGTTTATTTGTATTGAGTGAGTGATAATAATGCACATTCTTATGTACAAAAATGAAAGTGAAAAGTGCATATTGCTTTGTGCATAACTTATAAATGTCTTATCTAGAAATTGTCACTGCTGCAGATAAGGGCTTTAGATAAGCACTAAAGAAATATACGCACGAATTCCTTCTTATTACATACACTGGTGAGCATGGTTGAGCAAGTGGTGAATATTTTGCTATTTAGCTATTTTAATATTTTTTTTTTCTAAAAAATGTTTTCAATTTCAAATGCTCTCGCCTCAAATATTTTTTTTTGATTTAATATTACATTTTTTTATGAATAAATTTTATACTAATATTGTAAAATTTTTAATTCTTTTATTTTAATTTTTTTAAAGCCTATTTCAAATGATCGAAACACTTTTTTTTAAACTTTTATTGAATTTTTTTCTCTCAAAACCAATTTTGAAATAAAATTTAAGCAATAAATATTTCAGTATTAAGAGGCACACCTAATGTGAAATGTCAAAAAAATCGATCTTTATTCATGTTTCGGTAGATAATACCTTTAAAAATAACATATTAAAACTTCAAATCGATACCTTAAATAGTTTTTGAGTTACAGCAATTTAAAGAGCAGCCGCTCGGCAGCAAGAGAGTCTCATTAGCTACGAGTGAAAAAGATCATTTTATCTTTAAACGCGTTTTTATCGAAACAGCATTTTCCGAGTTTGCTGCAGTGATTACTCAAAAATAAATGATCCGATCACTATCGATTTCTTTTTACATATCCTATATACAATGACCTATCGATTTTTGATCTGATCAAAAAAACGAATTTTGGCAGGCCAAAAACGATCAAAATTTTTGGTAAAATTCGACTATTTTTTTTAAAACTCCGCCATATTGTCAATTTTTAATTTTTTCATTGTAGGTCATTGTACAGACAATATTATCTAGTAGAGAATTTTTTTTTAGATTTAATCCACGGAGAAGGCCGGAATCACTGCAGCAGTGAAGGACCTTTTTTCGCGCCGTTGGAGATCGACTATAACTTAAAAAGTTTTTAATTTTTTCTTCAAAAATTCCACTGTATGTTCTTAAAATTTTGAAATAATTGCTAAAGTATTATTTTTAATAAAAATTCCAAAAGATTTTTTAGGCCATTACACATTTAAATAAATATAAAAAATGGTAATTTTTTAAAAAATATTAATAAAAAATGATAAAAAAATAAATAATAAAAAACGGTACATTTTTTTAATAGTTTTTAAAACAATATATTAAAATTGAATTTATTTTAAAAATTTTTTCCACGTAAGTTTAAGTTTTTGGTTTGTAATTTTTTAATTGCTCAAAAATCGCAATCAATGCACACTTAAAATATTTTGTTTCAAGAATTTTGTAAGTTTTTTGAAAAGGTTTTAGCTTTTTTGTTGGTTTTGTAAATATAGATACTATTATTTTAAAAAAATTTCGCATTAAAATTAGTTTTGTTAATTTTTTGAAATATTTCATACAATTTTTTTAATTCTATTTTAGGTTTTTTGGTTAATTTGGAAATAAATTTTTGAATTAACTCTAAAATTTTTCGTTTCACAATTGTTTTTATAGTTTTTTAAATAATTGATTTTTTTTTAAAAATTTAAAAATTATATTGTTAATTATTTTTTTTTCTTTTAACAACCTTTTTCTATCTTCATTAATTTTTTATAACTTTCAATACTTTACTTTTAAATATTTCTAAAAATTAATTATTTTTCTTGTTAATATTTTTGTTTGTTATTTTTATAATTTTTAAATATATATATATATTTTAATACTTTTTATTATTTAAAAATTGAATTTTAAATAAATTTGACGACTCAACATTTTTACTCGAAATATTTTTTCGTGACAGTCATATTTTCTGTAATTTTGCTCTGATAATTTTCACAATTCGATTTTTCTATCAATTTTTAATTTTTTAGAAACCGATTCGAAGTAAATTGCTTAGTTTTTTTTTTACTTTTGAAATGTCGTTTTTGAAATTAGTTATAAACTTTTTCTATTATCCAAGCAGAACTAATATATAATTAAATTTTTAACTTGCAATATTTTTAAGTTAGAATTGCAATTTTTTTGTGTGATACAAGAATTTTTTAATAATTTTTGCAATTAGAATTGTTCGATTAAATGATTTTTATTTTTCACCTTTTTCAAATTGAATGTAATATAAAAATTTAAATATATTAAGGATATATAATTGCCTAAATGTAACCTTTGAAGCGATTATTAATGAAAATTTATAAAATATAAATCAAAATTAACTTACATTTATATAGAGTTAACAGTTTCCTGTTTTTTTACGATTATTATTGAACATGTTAAAAAACTTGTAGAAGATTTTGAGTTTTAATACCTTAAATATATATATATAGATATTTTTTTGAGTTAAATTTCTTTTAATTTTTATTTTTATTTTATGAAATTATTTTATTTGATTTCATATTAATTTAAAATAAGTTTTTTAAATGTTATTATATTTTATTTCATTTAATACTATTTTGTTTAATTTTTTATTTCGTCTTATTTATTTTTATTTTACTTTATTTTAATTTATTTTATGTTATTTTATTTTTATTTTATTTTATTTTATGTTTTAGTACATAATATAATATTGTTTGTTATATTTTATTATATTTAATAATTTAAGTTATTTTATTTTTTTTAATTTCTTTCCATTTTATTCTTATATTTTATGTTTTCTGATTTAGATTTATTTTATTTTATTTTATTTTATTTAATTTTCATTTATTTTATTTTAATATATATAATTTATTAAATTTGAGTTAATTTAACCAAGTTTTATTTTTTTTTGTTTATTTCATATTATGGTACTTAATTTAATTTAATTTTGTTAAATATCTTTTATCTAATTTTATTTTATCTCGTTTTATTTAATTTAAGTTTATTTTTTTATTTTTATTTTTGTTTATATTTTATTTTTATTTTTATTTTAATTTTTATTTTATTTTCTTTTTATTATCTTCTTTTATTTTGATATTTGTTTATGATTTTTCATTTTATTTCGATTAATTTTATTTTATTTAATTTATTTAACTTTATTTATTTAACTTTTATTTTATTTTATTAATTTATTTAATTTATTTAACTTTATTTATCTAACTTAATTTTATTTTATTTTTGTCTCTTTTATGTTATGGCACTTAATTTATTTTATTTCGTTTGTTATATTTTATATTATTTTATCTCATTTTATTTTTTTTCTTATATTATTTTTTTATTATTTTCTTTCATTTTATTTAATATTTATTTATGATTAATTTTATTTAATTTTAATTTATTTTTAACTTAATTTTATTTTATTTTTGTTTATTGTATGCCAGTTGATTTAGTTTAGTTTTATTTTATTTTGTTTTAATTTAGTTTAATTTAATTTAATTAATTTTATTTTTGGTTTATATTATATAATAATAGATTTCAATAATTTTGCAGAAACTCAAGGCATTTCTATTGAGATCTTAAACAAGTACATTTTAATAATAGTTTAAGCAGTTGGTACTAGTTTTATCATTAACATTGAATTTTAAACCGCTTTTTTAGTAATCAACCACACCGTGCAACAACATTCTTTGAATATTTCGTATTAAGTGCACTAACGTCAAAAGTACACAACTTGACGCTAAAAATGTAAAAGTGTGTGTTTATCTACGCTTGTAAATATTTATTTACTTTTGCCTGCTCAACCTCAAAGGCTTCAAACAACCTCAGTCGTGTCTTGCATCTCTTGCGTATAAGATTCTTAACGAACCAACAAAACGTGTGTGTAAACCTTTGAGTATAAAAAATGTTATTCAAAAACCAAAATTTTATACAACATTTTGGCTTACTCTTCTTCGGATTCATTATAATTATGCAAAAATTGGTACAACTTTTTTGTATATTAGAAAATGAAATTGAACATTTGGACTATTTACCAAAAACAACGAATATGGAAGCTAAGCGCATAGTGGATAAGCGTGGTACGAGGAATAAAACGAAGAGTGATCGCCCAAAAAAATTGAAAGACACAGATTTTATTTTTAAAGATAAAAAGATAAGATAGATATAATAAATATTTTATACAAACATTCTTTAAATTAATTTCATTGAACGTAATAAATGCATTTAATTTTAAAAGAAAATTGTAAAAAATTTTTTAATTCTTTTTTTAGAATTTTTTTTTTTTGACAATTTTCGACATTTTTTCCTATGCAAAATATATGTGTAACCATGGCATAATTAAGGTCAACCTATGCGCTTAAACCTTTCGATGCAGTAGCATTGAACTTCCGGCCGTAATTATTTTGTATATAAATTATCCACACGCATGTGCGCTTGGCAGACTTTTGCTATTTAATTTCTGGCAAACACATTCTTCTATATATGATTGATTGCCCATTGACCAACATCAACACCAGTCTCTTGGTATTTGTATCGCGTACAAGGTTTTCTTTGCCATAAAAGCAAAAATATTTCATTTAGTTGGTCTTGTTTTGAGCCACGCCAAAAGCGAGAAAAAAGACAAAGCTGCAACTTGAATTCTTATTTTGGGTGCGTGTCACTGAATGCAGATCACAATAAAAACGGAACCGGTTTTGTTATGACAAAAAAACTCTGTTGTACACGAATTGATTTCAAATGTAATAGAGTTAAACGTAAATTAAAAAAATTAAATGAGAAACTTTAAATATAAAGTAAATAAGTACAAAATTTAAGGTAAAAAAAGAAGAATTAATGAAAAATAACTAATTTATTCAAAAAAAAAAATTTATATAATTAAATTACACTTAATATAATATAATAACAGCAATAAAAAGTTAAAATAATATCAAATAAAATAAAGCAAAATTAAATAAAATTTTACAAAATAATAAAAAATAAAGTAAATTGAAAAAAGTAGATTAATCTAAAATTAATAAAAGAAATAAATATTTAAATATAAATAAATATATTTAGATGAAACATGAGACCAATAAACAGTATAGCTGCAGGGTGTGCATATGTCGCCACAACACTGAGTATTTTGGACAGGCATTGATCTCGCCCACTGTTGTTGATCGATAATATCATTACAGGCTGTCTTTGCCTAAAATCTCCTGCTAGCAACATTAATGCTTTACCCATTAGGTAATTGTTGTCGTGAAGGTCTTGCAACGACCGATCAAGAGCTTCAAGTGACTTTTTGTATGTCATTGTGCATTCAGAGCAAGTAATAAGTTTGCATTGTCGTCATGCATTTCTCATACCGGTTGTTTTGGAAATATTGGACATGGGAGTCTCAATCGATTGCAGCTTCAGAGCGGAATGTTCAGCACTTTCACAGAGTAGTAATATTGCAGCTCCTCTTAATGAAGTAAGTACCAAGTGAAAGCAAATATGAGTGAACCAAAATACTTACGGTCACTTCTTCGGAAAGCAAAAATCTTTGACGAAAATGTCAATGTGAATGCCTCGAAATAAGCCCAAAGCAACACTGGAATCTATGCTTATTTATATTCGAGTTGAACGCGCAGCCGCTATCAGCGATCTATGCTCATATTCAAATCATACTAATCAATCTGTGGTGATCACTTTCCCATAAAGAAAGTTTTATAGGAAAGTTTGAGTAAATCGAAGTTCATTTTCAGGAAACAAAGTTATTCCAGTTAGGCCTATCATTCAAGACGATAACTAAAACTAACCGAGAGTATGCATATTTTTTCCAATTAAATCGACCCACACCTCGTAAAAAAACTTAAGCGAACATAACCATAATTATGATTTTTTTGAAAACGTCAGTCCAGACACACTTCCCGAAGGGAAAGTAGTCTTCCTGCTAAAACAATTTTTCAAATAGTTCGGACTATTTCTAGGAGAGCAGAGAAGTTTTCCTGTTAATTTAAGCAAAAAGCCACTTTTTTTGGAAAAGGTCAACACTTGGTACACTTCCTGAAAAATGACTTTCGGTTAAACCTTCCCAGGAACTATAGAAAAAATCTTACAAAAAGTTAAGTCTATCAAATCGTACCTTTTGGAACCTATCGGATCTGTACAAACGAAGACCACCAAGTAAGGGCACTTTTTTCAAAAGCCTTTTTTGACAGATCACGCGTGAGTCACTTCAATCTGTCATGTTATTTTAGTTCAGCATTGTTTGACATTTCATATTGGAAGTAATTACGTCTGAAAATCTTTCACAAACCGTGGAATTCTATAACGAAAACTCATGTTTTTGTCTTTCGCACACTTCTCTTAACTTGTGGTCAACATGATCGGTGTATTGAGCGTACTATTCGCAACACCTTCATTCATCGTGAGACCCAGTAATGAAGAAAATAGAGCGGTCGTAGCTGAGAGTGCACACGAAGACCGCGGAGAGTGGATTCGGCGCCGTTCGCTGCAACTCGTACTGACGTATGCAACGTTTTGGAGCATTTTGCGTTGAGATCTTAAATTAAAAGCGTATAATATACAGCTCTTGCAAGGACTGAAGCTGTTTGATCTTCCCAAGTGACATCGTTTCGGTCTATGTGATCTTGAAAAGTTCCATAATTTTCGCACCAAATTTTATTCAGCGATGAGACCAACTTCTGGCTCCGTGGGTATGTAAACAAGCAAAAATGCCACATTTTGAACGACGAGCAACCTGAAGAGATTCAATAGCTGCCATTTTATGCAGGAGAAAAATGGTTAAGTATGGTTTGTGAGAACGTAATAATAATATAACCGACCATTTGATGCCTGAAATTAAAGCTCGTGATCTCGGCGACATTTGGTTTCAACAAGATGGCGCCATTCCCATAGATCGTATCAATCAATGGATCTATTGAGAGAACACTTCAGTCAGCAGATGATTTCACGTTTTGGGCCAGCAACATCGTGTGATATTACACCGTTAGACTCTACTGTAAAAATTTGTAAGGTCTAAAAACTATGTGAACCATTCCGCTTCGACTCAGGTGACAGTACGCGTGTCATTCGCCAGTTACCAGTCGAAATGCTCGAACGAGTCATCGATAATTGAACTCAACGGATGAATTTGAAAGAGATAATCTTACAAAAATAAATGTCAAAGAATGTTCTTTCAAATGATAATAAACCTACCCTATTAAAAAGAATTTTCTGTATTTTCTCTTTTAAAATGAAGAGAACCTCGAAATGGAACACCCTTTATATATTTGGAAAAGAAATTTCAGCAGGAAATTCGCGCTTGTGAAATATGTCGTTAAATAAATTTTAATTTAATCACTAACACCACAGACTTACCGTTAACCCATTTCCAGGTGCGCGATGTGATGCCCGGTTCCTTTTGTGCACCGATCCACACCAGCTGTGTCTTCAGCTCCGATTTGCGGCGTTCTAATTCGGCGAGAATATAATCGTTGGCGGCACCACGAAAATCGTGCACCAAATTGCCGCCTACAAGCAAAACGAAACGAAAATAAAAAACAAAACATAATACTGAATCAAATACAAAAACAAAATCTTTATAAGATACAAAAATCTCAGCGCGTTCATGCAAATTAATAAAATACAAACATTTGCTTATATGCAAATTTATATAATTATATGCTTATATATATATATATATATATAGTCACTCACTCGTGATTTTCACACTCACTTACCCGTTGTTTTACACATTTGCTGCGCCTTCTCGAAATTCTCACCCTTCGTCACGTGAAATTCATAGCAAGTCTTCGAGAATGTCGTCAGCACTGTGTCAACACTCAAATTTGGACTGAGACAGCGATCGACAGAGAATTCATCATTTGTAAAGACTTCTACTTCACACAAACTCAAGCTGCCCTCCACGCCCACCAGCTGTATGGCGACATATTGGCCGATAAGTGGACGCGCACAAGAGAATGTTTTGGTGATGCCTTCCTCGACAGTGCCTGGATACCAGGCACAAAGTGGATTGCGTTGCAAGTCGGCGCTACTATTGCCCACACGTATCTCCAGATCTTGCAGTGGTTGATGACCACAGCAGCCGCGTGTGGTGATGCGTACAACGCGGACGGCTTGTGGCGCTAGCAGATCGACACGCCACCATGGTGAGGGTTCCTTTTGTGTTTCGGAGCATTGTTGGCCATCTGGGTTCTGTGAGGAGAAAGGTGGAGTAATAAGAGAAACGTTTTTAATAAGTACTTCTTGATTTTTAGCATAAATCTAATTAGAGCATTGTTGAGGAAGAAAGAGTTGGAAATGTGAGTTCATCTTTCACTTGTCATACCCACCTTATTCCCCGGATTGCCATCATTTGCATAATTCGCCGGACCCGCACGCGTATACGAGCTTTGATTTACGGGCTTACGATAGGCGACATTTGTGCCACAAAATGGCAACTCACGTTCCCAGCCACTCGTTGGATCACATTTAATCGTCTTTGGGCCAAAGAGCTCATAACCGGAATCACAATCGTATTTGGCCTCTATAAAACCCGCATCGCCAGAGATAGTCTGTACTTTGGCATTAAGCGGCACGGCTGGTTGACCGCAAACTAAAAGAAAAGCGGAACAGAGAGAGAGAGAGAAATCAAATATAAATAGATGAGCTTAAAATGAAGGAAAATAAAAATGAATTAAAAATATGTTGAAAAAAAAAAATGTAATTAATAAAACTGTTATATACTAATATTTGTATATTTGCTTAGCGTGATCTGCTTTCTCAGAAAATTGTCAACCGGTAAATAAGGCCGAAAATAAAACTAAACCAGGTTGCGCAGTTCGATAGCACTTGGACGCTAAGTAGTTGGTAAATAAACGCACACACACACACCCACACACACACACAACAAGTCAAAGCTGCCAGTATTTATTATAAACCAATAAAGTAACTGTCAGCTGGAGTGGTAGCCGGTGACAGTTACTGTTAATTAACAACAATTACTTTACAAAATTACAATTTCTGGCCTTTGTTGCCGAATCAAACGAACATAACAATCTGCAAAGCTTCCTTAGAAAGAAAAGGGGTTTCGAAAAATAGTCTTAAGCGCTGCTTTATTCCTAACTAACTAGCTTGAGTGCCGCATTACGGTAATAATTCCACAAAAATAAGAGGCAAAAATAAGCAGCAAATACGCTAAGTAAATAAGAGTGTGTTTTTGTGTATTTTTTTTTCAAATACATGCAAGCAAGCAATGTACATACATACAAACATACAATTACATCCACAGATCTGAGTTTTTTTTTCTTCACTTTTAGGTTATTGAACTGTCACGCAACATTTCTCAGTGAATTATTATTTTTTTTTATTTCAGACAAGTCAAGTTAAAAGCCCACGACCGCTATGTACGCCGGTTGACTCTACTAACTACATACACACATACATAAGTATGCAGATGTGTACACTGAGTTATAGCCCCTAACTACAGCAACGCATTCACTTTGTGATCTATGCACCTTAGAAGACTTAAAATAAAAGAAAAAAATATTTTTTTTATTAACTCAACTTTGTTCATATTTATCTGCGAAGCATATAGATTTGCTTTCATACCTTTTTTGCACTCAGCTCTCGTTGTTAAGCCATCATTATAATAGATGGATGGCTACACTTCAACAGCTGCGTATGATCTATTACGATCTACTGTATATATATAAGTATAAATGTGTGAGCGTCTATTTAAAACCTATTATGCTGGGCGAGTATGCGTGTGGGTTGCATATTTAGTGCATTCGTTGTTAGGGGGCGTAAGCCATATGTACGGAAATTAATTAAATGCACAAGTGTACGCATTGCTATGTGTTTGCCATATTTGTATGAGTTGATGTCGGTGTTTCATAAATCAAACGGTTTGCTGTGTCTAAGACTAATACTCATAAGTAGTTCGACAATGTGTCTGATGCTGTTAAAAAATTATTTAATTTACGTTATTATGCTATAATTTATTTCATTTTATATATTATATTTCAATTAATTTCATTTAAATTTAGCTCTTTTTTAATTTTGTTAAATATTATTTCCTTTTATTGTACTTTAATTATGTTACTTATTTGATTTGATTTTATCTCACTTTAAATATATTCATTTTTTTTTGGCTCTATATTATTTTAATTGATTTTATATTATTTTAATTCATTTTATTTTATTTTAATTAATTACAGTTTATTATATTTTTTTATTTATTATTTTTTTCTTTTAATTTAATTTTATTTTAGATCAATTTTTTGTTTTGTTTTTTTATTCCACTTTATTTTATTTTATTTTTTTTTAAATTTTTTGGGTTTGCGTACTGACATTCGGAACGCCAAAAGCCAAAAGTTATAGAAAATTAATTTAAATAAAAAAGGTTAAATTTTCTAATTGCGGTCGCTTCAGGCATGAAATAAAACCCCATCGTAAAAAAAATCATCAGCCGTTCGGAGGCGGCTTAGTGTAAACTGTAGGTCGTTGGAAAGACATCAAGATGCAAAACAACAAATTGGAGGAGGAGCTCGGCCTAAAGATAGCTTTCAGCCGTTACAAAGCTCCAATGATATACATATATATAAATTTTTATTTATTTCATTTTTTATTTAATTTATTTTATTTTTTTTAAGTTATTGCTATAGTATTTTAATTTTTTTTATTTTGTGTTAATTTTATTGAATTTATTTATTTTTATTTGTTTTGTTATATGATATTTAATGTATTTAATTTAATATATTTCACATTATTTTATTTCATTTCATTTTGTTTTGTTTTATTTATTCTATTTAATTTATTCATTTGATATTATGTTACTTTATTTGATTTTATTTTATATTAGGTTATACGTTAATTTATTATATTTTATTGTTATTTTAATTAACATTTTGTTTCATTTTATTTCAGTTTGATATGTTTTATTTAATTTTACTTTATTAGTTATTATTTTATATGATATTATTTTAGTTTAATATAGTTTGTTTTTTATTTTTTTTATTATTTCGTTATTTTATTATGTTTTTTATTATTTTTTTTTTAATTCTTTTTTTAATAATTTTTAATCTTATTTATTTTATTGTATTTTGTTTTGATTTGTTTTATTTTATGCATCTTCTTTTATTTTATTTTATTTTATTCTGTAATATTTTTTTATCTTATTTTTTATTTAATTTTATTTATTTTATTTTATATTTATATATTCTATTTTATATTATTTGATATTAACTTTTTATATTTCATTTAATTGAAAATCTTCAATTTTTGTTTTACTTAATTTTTTTAATACTATATTAATTTCTCTTATTTATTTTCTTTTTTTTAGTTAATTTTATTTTACTTTTCACTTTTCTTATTTTAATTTAATTTTACTTTTACCATTATTTTGCTTTTGTATCTTATTTATTCTATTTTATTCACTTAATTTTATACTATTTATTTCTATTTTTATTATTTATTTTTATTTAATATAATGCATTATTTTATTTTATTTATTTTATTTCCCTAATATTGCTCTATATTACTTTGTTTTTTGTTACTGTATTTTATTTCAATTTTTTTATATTAATATTATGTTGTATTCTTAAATTTTTTTTTTTCATTTCATTTAATTTAGTTTTATTATATATCTTTTTATTTTTTTCTTTTTTATTTGAATTTTTTTATAATATTCAAACATAGGTTTAAATTTTTTTCCTATAAATTTATTTATTTTCATTCTTTTTATTTGATTTTGTTTTATTTAATTTCACTTAATTTTTTTTTTTTTATTTGACCTCATTATCTTTTATTATCTTTTATTTTATTTTACTTCTCTTTATTTTATTTTGATTTACTTAATATTGAATGTATATAGTTTAAATAATTTACTTTGTTTTAATGTATTTTATTCTCTTTTTTTATTTTTTGTTATTTTAATTTGTTTTGATTTTTTTTATTCTAAATAATTTTATTTCATATTAATTTTATTTAATTTTTGTTTTGTATTATTAAAACAATATTATTTTATATATCTCTTATTTTCGTTTTCTTATTTTAGCTTATGGGATTCTAATTAATTTAATTTTATTATGTCTTATTTTGTTTGTTTATTTGATTAAGTTTATTTCTATGTTATTACAAATTATTTTAATTTGATTTATATAATTTTTTTTGCTTTCTGATTCACCCTCTTTTTCAACTACTTTAGCAGTAATTTGCAGGCAATTGCTTATTATTTATCATATAACTCTCAATTATATTTTTAACGGTTTTTGGAGCAAAACGTCACGCTTCATTTCTTCCGCATACAAATCGTATTGTAAGAAATATATCTACTATACTATTTATATATAAACATACACATTTGTATTGATTGTGCAATTATGAACCATATTTGCAGGAAATTCGCATTCGGTTTGCTCTTAAAACATTTTTAGTTTCTTTGTTTTGTTTAATTGTTTACAAACATCTTCGAATTTCGCAACATTTAATAAGTTAATATCCAAGTAAAGTAGATTTAATCGCAAAAGCTCAATGAAGAAATTATATGATGTGTTTCAATTTATTACTTCCTTTGCAAAAGCGAATGAAGGAGGCAAAAATTTATTAAGTGAAAATAATTACATTTCGACTTTTGAGGCGCTGAGAAATTTTTTTAAATTTGCTTAAATGTCTTTTCCGGCGTTTTTGTTAAAAGTAATAGAGAAACGAATTCCTACTCTGAGAATTTATGTAAATTCTATGAGCTTATTTTTATGTTTTTTACTTTGGAACACGAACAAGTTTTATTTCAAAATAATTCTATGCAAAAAGTATAGCAGTGAACCGGCGTACTTCACTTGCTCATATTCAGGAATAATAAGTAATTAATTTCACTTAATTGTTGGTGAATATGATTTTCATAGGAGTGTGAGAACACAGCGATTTGCTTTGTGATCTTGGGATAAGTTTGGAATTAATGAATATTTTGCTGTCTATAAACTTTTGCATTATGAAACTACTTTAAGTTGAACAGGCAATATGCAGGTTTGGTGTCTGATGAGTCATTTTTTCAAGCTCTGTTTAGAAATGTAATAGGAATTGTATGCACAAGAAACATTTACGAACAAATATTTAGCAAACAATTTTATTTTGTATCTTTTGTCTAAGTATAGCCATCACTGTTTTGCAAGCAACAGTTTTATTTTCAGTTTAAGCCATAATGGGGACACTCATTGCAGTATTACGGTATTAATCGCTATGTAAGTTATGCATACCAGTAAAAGGCAAATAAATACAATATTACAAAATTATTGTTGTCACAATGAAGTCATTGAACTAACATATTTCACATATATATACATAAATAATACGAGTATAAAGAAAATTAAATTGTGTTATTAATAGCAAATTAAATATTATCAAATCCAATTTGCTTAACTGCATATAAATATACGCCTGCAGAAGCAACAATAAACTTAATTAATTATCTTAATAATATGGAGTGCAATCGCTTAACAAGAGTAGCAAATGAAAGTGAAAGGACGATGGATAAAAATAAAAAATGTGGGCCAAAATCAACTGTAAAATATTTCAAATGAAAAGAAATTAATTAAAGAAGATAAAAAAATCAGTCAAAACAAATAACAATATTTATTAAAAAAAAAATTTTAAATAAAAACGAAATAACTAAAAATAAAGTAAAAGAAAAAACAAATAAAATGAAATAAAATAAAAAAATAAAATAAAATAAAGAAAATAAAATAAATCAAAACAAAACAAAATAAATAAAAATATATAAAAGAAAAATACATAACATTAAATAAAATAAAATTAAGAAAAAAAAAATAAAATAAAATATTAAAAAAGTAAATAAAATGATATTATTTAATTTAAAATAAAATAATATGAAATAAAATAGAACAAATAAAATAAAATTATAAGGAAAAAAGTTAATTTACAATAAAATAAAAAATAAAATATAAAAATTAAAATAAAATAAAATAAAATCAAATGAAATAAAATAAAAAAATTGAATAAAATAGTATAGAATAAAGAAAAAAATATAAAATTAATTAATATAAAACAAAATGAATAAAAAAATGAAATTAAAAAAAATAGAATAAAATAAAATAAAATTAAACAAAATAAAATAAAATAAAATAAAATAAAATAAAATAAAATAAAATAAAATAAAATAAAATAAAATAAAATAAAATAAAATAAAATCAAATGAAATAAAATAAAAACATTTAATAAAATAATATAGAATAAAGAAAAAAATATAAAATTAATTAATATTAAACAAAATGAATAAAAAAATTAAATTAAAATAAAATAGAATAAAATTAAACAAAAATAAAAAAATAAAACAAAAAAAAGAATAAAGTAAAAACATAATTAATTTTATATAATATAAGTAAATGAATAAAAAAATTAAATTAAAATAAAATAGAATAAAATAAAAAATAAATAAAATATATTAAAACAAACAAAAACAAAATAAAATGAAAATAAATAAAATAATATTATATATATGGAAAAAAATAAAATTACGCTAAAATAAAA